TTTGACATGTACATCAATGAACTGGAAAGGAGAATGAATAATGCAGTGACACTTCTTGATGATACAAATCTATTCAGAGCTCTCAAGAGGAGGATAGATTGCAAAGAGCTAGAGAAAGGCCTCACAGTACTGACTGGAAGTAAAATGGTGGCAAATGAAATACCGTGTTGATAAATGTAAAACAGTGCATGTGGGGAAAAAAAACCAGTCCAACTTTAAATGCACAGTGATGAGCTCTCATTTAGCCCTTTTAATCATTCCTCTAGCTCTCAAAAATCATGGAATTATAGTAGATAGTTCTATGAAAACATCTCTTCATGTTCAACAGTGTTCAAACTGAATCAAATGTTTGGAGGAAATACCAGAAAAGGAATAGAGAACAAAGCTGAAAATATTATGCCATGGTATAAGACCCTGGTATACCCACATTTTCTTTATTGTGTGCAGTTTGGTCCCTCAATCTAAAAAAGAGTATAGCAGACTAGATCCAAGGTGTGGAAAGCTCCTATGCAAGGATAGCATAGGTGACATAGGACTCGGCTTTATGTTGCTTAACTTCACGTCTGCGAGGCAGGTGTCTACATGCGAGCTACTTGTCTAGGCTCCCAGAGCTCCTTAGGCTTAAGGAAAATCTGCTCAGTTTGGTTGCTGGTGGTTAGAATGTGATTCATGTCATCCTGTTGTAAAAATGTACATTTTGTTTAATTTCCTGTCTTGATTAGCTTCCTATTGACTGCAGAGGGAACCCAGAGTGACTTGCTCAGAAGTAAATACATATTCAAATTTATTCAAATGTCTGTTCCCAGTCTGGGAATCTTCAGGCTGGAAAAAGTGGCAAATATGAGGGAGATTTATACAACCATGAATTGTATGGAGAAGATCAGCAAAAAATGGCTGATCACTGTTTCCCATGAGCTAAGAATTAGGGGTCTTCTAGGGAATGTCTCAAGTGGTAGTTTCACACAGCAAAAAAGATGTTTTTTCAGCCTAATATTGAACTTATCGCAGGAAGTTGGGAATGATAAAACCTTACATTAGTTCAAAAAGCTACTGGGCAATTTCATGGAAGAAGAATGCATCGAGAGCTAATTGATGTAAAAGTACAACTTCTGACTCCAGAATGTCCGAAGCACAAATCAGGGAGCTAAAAGAGAATAGCAAGGAGCACAGGAGCTCATGCTCTCCTGAGCTTTACATTCGTCCCTAGGCAACTGCATTGGCTATTGCCAGAGGAGGGACTGGGCAAGAGGAAAGAGAGGATTGAAAGGGAATCTGATCAACATGTTCAAGTACCTGAGGGGTGAATGCAGGGAGGATGGGGCCGAACTCTTCTCAGTGGTGGCCAGTGACAGGATGCAGAGTAATGGGTGTAAGTTGAAACACAGGCAGTTCCACCTCCCTTTGAGGAAGAACTTCTTTCCTGTGAGGGTGACAGAGCCCTGGCACAGGCTGCCCAGAGAGGCTGTGGAGTCTCCTTCTCTGGAGATCTTCCAAACCTGCCTGGATGCCGCCCTGTGCCACGTGCTCTAGGTGTCCCTGCTGGAGCAGGGGGGTTGGACTAGATGATCTCTAGAGGTGCCTTCCAACCTCCACCATTCTGGGATTCTGTGATCTGTATAGCCACTCTTAGCAAGTCAGGGTTTGTGCCGTATTCGTCTTCTAGAGTTCTTGCTACTTTTCCAAGGAGTTTTAAAACACTTGCTGACAGGACTGTACGGATCATTTAAAATCCAATCTACCACCTACAGTATCACATGCTATTGAAATTCTTTCTTGCATACAGACAGTCATAATGAAAATAATTTGGGGCTGTTTCTCCTATTGCTGCTCATACTGAGAAGTCATTTAAATCCTCAGCAATTTAATTGGTTTAAATAGGTCTCCTTGTGGTAGTGGAACACCACTCACCATGTATATTTGTTTTTAAATTAGAAACACTACAGTTCACCACATTTTTATGATATAAAACTGTGATATGTATAATATTTTTATTTAGAAGGAAAAATAATGGAAATATGAATCAGTCATAAAATATAAAAACCAATTATTAAAATATATGTATTACTGCAAAGCATTTCTATCATAATGATGAAAATAACAATCTAGTAGAAATTCTTAATTTCTTCTTTTACAGATGAAAAGTATAGTGCAGAATACAGAAATTATCACTATTTCCTAAAATTTTTTGAACACTTGTTGAAAGAAAAGGGAATTCACACTGACTTTCTCTTACTCTAAAACTACCTCAGGAGTGATGTATGTTGAATGGTGGCCGTGTTGTCCCTGATTAATTGTTACTTAACTTAGCTGAGTGGCTGACCTTTTAAATAATACAGTATAATCTGCCAGATCTTGATATGGATACATTTTTTCTTTCTCTTGAGGTTTTTAATTGGAATTTAAAACATTAATTACATCGTATTAATTAAATAGCTCTCTATGGAGTAGCATTCTTTTGTTTTTACTCAGTTGTGTTTTGAATCAAGTAACAAATGAAAGTGCTAGTGAAAGCTCAGGGTTGGTAATAGTATAATACAGAGCATCAAATTCAAATATGATGAAAAGGATATTGTGTTTCATATATTTAAAAATTAGCATAATGCTGCAAAAATCAGTATTGTTGCATCAGAAAAAGAATTAATAAGTCAATCAATTGCAAAATGGCGTGAAGTGAAAGAGATACATTCTATTTCATACTTTCTAAAGTATTTCTATGGTTTGATTTCTTTCCTTGTTATTCCTTTCTGTGTCTTAGCCTTCCCACTCTGAAATACCTTACGGTCACTTAAAGAAAAAAAAAAAAAGTGAGCTAATCATGAAGACTCTTCTATTTTCTCTTAATTTAGATATAATGATTATGTGATTTACATAATCATTTTTATCAGTCTTCATGTAAGACCAATACTTCCAAGTCAACATTTCATATGCAAATAATTGCCCTGAAATGAGTCAGGTATTTAATTATATGCTTAAACACAAGTGGTTTATACCGCAGGTCCATGCGCTTTGCCTGAGCAACAAAGTTTTCAATTAAATCCTGATTCCATTACTCTACAAGTTAATAACAAATGAACTTGCTTTAATGCAGAATCTTCATTAAAGAAGTGCACTGTAGTGCAGGAGCTGTTCTTCGCACCGGATGATCTCCACTTATCCTAACAGGGATTTACGTACAAATACAGCACCCAGGTGACCATCCCCAGTGTAAGTCATAATGTCATGGCCAGGAAACTTGACCACTTAAACTTGCCTGCAGGCAGCAAGTAACATGTTCAGACAAGATAAAGAAAAATGTATCCGTATGACATGTATCTTCAGTTACTGAGTTCTTTGTCTTCTAAGAACAAACGCCGTTCTTCTGAGCTCAAATACTGATGTAAATCATCAGGTTAAACACATACGTAATTCTGAGATAAAACCAAACGTGCTAAATCCTTTCCTTTCCTGTTCACCACAGGCCCTAGTCTTCCCACAACCCTGTAAATCAGTATTCCCTGCAGTAACAGACTTGTGTTTCAGTGGTATAAAACTAGTGAAGTGGAGAAGAGAACCGCGTGTCGTGAACTTGGTGTGTGCCGCTGCTCTCGCACCAGGGCACGTGCATCGCTCCCTGCGCTCGCCGTTACAAAGTGCCCGTCCCTCCTGGCCTGGGTATTTTGCAGATCTGCCGTTGCAGACACTCACTGCATACGAACTCCATTTAAGTCAGTCTAACTGCTTGTGTTGCGGGCTTTTGTTTAGCAAAGTGGAAGTCAAATCTGACCTTTAATGAAGTTGGAGGGACAGTTTTTCCGTGATGCTTGCCTTTAAGCCAGGTCATTACATTCTAATGTCTATGGATGTCTTAATGCTCCTCACAGTGTCAAGATTCTTATAGCTCACTCAGATATTGTTTTTTTTAAATGTTGTTTTCATCACATTTTGGTGAAATGATTAGTAGGCAATCATTTCAGGTTTCTTGATCATCCAAAATGAGAGGCGAACCACATATGGTCTGTATTAAGAATGATGAGAGAGAGAAGCTGGAAAGGCAGACTAACATCACCAGTGAATTATCCTACCTCGGTGTGCAGAAATCACATTACCTAATGTTCTCCTGAAAATGACAGAATTTGTCCCTTGGAAATGGCTCGTTGTACATTTTGACACAATTTATCATATTAAAGATTTATAAATGTCTCCTTAGAGAAGATGGATATGGAACAGTGGAAGATCTGGGCAGAGAATCCTCTCTCTGCTAGAGTCACCATGTGCTGTCTGGAGTCTGTGCTGCAGGACTCTGGGGATGTTTTTACTTGATTCATAGAAACATGGTCATCAGTTTGTTTTTCTTAAAATCAGGATGCTTGAAACTAGCTGGTTTGGGTTTTCACACTCATTATTGAAATTGCTAAACTGGACTGCTCTTACCCTTAACTTTAAGGGTGCATTCGTTTGTTTTCCTAAAATACAGAGGCATGTAGGCCTGCTTGGGATTCATAGCAAGGAGGTTTTTTGTTTCCTTGTTTTTATTCCCCTTTCTAACCACTTATTTGTAATGCGCAAGATACCTGAGGTAAGAACATGATTTCAGTGAGGTCTATCTGTTTTACCATTGATTCCCTTTATTTATTCACTATATTGGGAAAGTGTGGTCTGCCTCTGTTTTCATATTTTAAATAGCATTTACCACCCCGTCCATCCTGAGGAACGTACTGTATAAAAAATGAGAGCAGCAAGAAGCATCCCTCAGAGCATGCATTACAGTGGATTAGGTTTAGCTTGCCAAAAGTTGCTGTGAAGGTTGTAATTTATATCATCACCTTCTGAAGTGCCAGGTCTTACCACAGAGACTTACAAAGTTTATAAAGTTATCTAAAAACTGCCTCATGATCTGTACATGCCCCTCCTCAGCTCGGCATGGGATACATCTGCTGTAGTGATCGGGTGGTAGGATAACCACTAGTGGGGAACAACCCTTGGAGCTGTTGCTTACGTTTGTTTCTGTTGAAACGGCGCAGGTTTATCGAGCAGAACTCGTGCCCCTCAAAGAGAAGGTGCATCACGTCAACGAGCTCGCGCGCCGCTTCGGCCCCTCGGACATCCAGCTCTCCCAGTACAACCTCAGCTGCGTGGAAGACCTGAACACAAGGTGGAAGGTGCTGCAGGTAGGCTTGTTGTGACCATTTTTTTATGCTGCATTGAAGTAGACTTTTTTTGTGGGCTTTGTGGGTTTCCTCCCCATGGAAGGAGCACTAAGTGTGCGTTAAAGGAATGAAAAAAAGTTGACAGTATTGAAAAACACTTTCAGAAATGGTGTTCCTATGAGAAAACCAGAGGTGAAGCTGGCTCTGTATTTTAATGTACTTCTGAATATTTTATAGAGAACTACAATTCTCAATAACCTACTTTCAGTTCTAGATAACCCAGGTCATCACACAGTTAAAGCTTGCATACAGTTAAAACACTTAATAGTTTATTTATCTTTTAATGACAATATGTTCAATATGTTATAGCTAACAATTCCTGTTGCCAGAAATGTTTTGTGATGGTTTCTTTCAGCTAGCTTATCCATGTTTTACTGAGATTTTATGGTACACATGAAGGATTGATTTTGCTGCTTTATTCCTTTCACTTTTGTTTGCATAGTTTCCTGGTGCAAGGGTTTGAAATATTTTCTTCCGCAGCCAGACTAATGATGCTGTGCAGTGGAACCTTTAATGTCACACCTGTACAATCAAATGCAAAATTGCAAGGCGTTATATGTGTTCCGTTGGCAGGATTTCTTATTGCTATTAAAGCTGTTAACAAAAAGGATCAATGAAATCAAGGTGAACGTAAAATGAAAGTTAAATATTGAAAAATTTAACTTCGCTTTTTTTAATGTACATAGTAGCTCACTTAAATTTTACATTGCTCTCCATTATCTTGCGATTAAAGCCTTCCCAATTTAATACTTCTTTTTTTTTTTTCTTCCCCAAAATGTACTATATTCCAGCTTGGAATTTTAGAAAGAATGAATGAGGAAATGTGGAAGCATGTGTGATCTGACATATTGTGATGTAGAGGCCATAGCAGTAGGGAAATCATACAATTAAAGGAAGGCAAATGCAATTAAATGCACTGCTTAAAGCAGTGGAATTTATTCACCATTTAATTATTGCTACCTCGCTGCCCTACATTTTGAAGCCATGTCGTTGTATTTACCTTAATCAAGATAGGTACTGCAAAAATGTGGGAGCATGAGATGGAAGTTGACACGGAGTTTTGCCTGCACTGTAAAATGCAAATATTAATACTCAAGAAGTGAACCAATTCCCTGTTGCCATACACAGAGACAAGATCCTGGTGCTGTCAACACTAGTAGACAGCAAGAGGTTATTGTTTCTTTATTGCTTCTCCAAAAGAAATCTCACGGTTCTGTGACATCTCCAGTTTACTGTCAGTTCACACAAATATCAACAAAACAAATATTTTTCCTTTCGCATAATCAGCAGTTGACAGTGATGATGCTAGTTTAAGTAAACAATAATTAGTCCTTGATCTTTGGTCCTGATTCTCCATTGTTTCTCATATTCTCAAGATAAGCAGATGTTTAGAAGATAAAATGAGCAGTCCTAAAATGACTTAGAGGACACATGAGAAAAATCACAGTAGTTGTTTGAATTAGCTGTTGTTTTTAGAAACATACAACAGAATGAGTTAGTTACCAAATTTAAATGCTGTAGTTAAATGCTGTATTGAAAATTGATCTAGTGGTGGATAAAGTTAAAAACAGTTAACAAAGTTCCAGTGATTTACTGAACTCCATTACTTCATCAGGACATAGGGGAAAGAGGAAGATTTTCATAGCAAAGGAATATAGGACATGAAAAAGTCAACCACGTCTGAGAGAAAGTCCGAGATAAATGTTTTGTTGTAACTGTTTATGAAAGTACTAAATAGAGGACAAGCTTGACAATGTAGACTAT